TCTCTCTCTCTCTCTCTCTCTCTCTCTCTCTCTCTCTCTGCCCCCTCTTCCTATCTCTCTAAAATCCATAAAAACATTTAAAAATGTAACTATATAACATTAGTGGAAACTGAAGTTTTCAAATACAAAGCATCACTTATCTTTGAATTCTTATAATTCTATTAAAATGTTGTACCAGATTCTCTCTCCCTTATTTAATTACATGTGTACTGGCCGTGTTGATTTATTTTGTTCTAATTTCCTCCTGAGCGTAGTTTAGTGAAATGATGCTCACAATGATTACACCTACGCCTGAAAAGCCCACCCGTGGGGAAGAAAGAGGAAAGCACTATTTGAAGCACAAGAGATAAAACACATTAACAAAGAATGCCAGAGCCCCTCCTATTGGGGCCTGGATGGGGGAGGTGTCCCCTGCAGGAGGAGGCTGAGGGTGCTCCCCTGACTGGGCCTATTGAACACAACCTCCAGGGGTGGGGCTGTGAGCACACCCTCAACTTGAAGTGCATTGATCAAGTTGCTCAATTGTCAAGTTGCTCCCAATGATCAAAAGACTCAATTAAGTAGAAGATATTGAAGGGGAAAATAAGACATGGAAGGGGGGCTAGCTATCTGAATCGGTGCCCGTAACCTGCCTTCTGACGTACACCCTTGCTTTCCGATAAACTCCATTCTCATCAAATTCCCTTCTTATCTGTGATGCCTGTCCTGTCTTGCAGAACTTGTTTCCTGGAATACTCCCATCTTACAGAGACCATAAACCATGAACCATATACAATCCTTGGAGGGGCTGGTGCCAGTGCTGGCAGGCCTCTGGGTGTGGTCTCACTTCCCCCATCCCAACGAATGGGGGCAAAGGCTGCAAAGGGTTGACCTATATTTGGGGAACAAAGGAACTAAGAGTATAAAGGGAAAGCTTCGTTCATATTCATCACTCAGGATTTGGAGACTGACTCCCCTGAGTCATGGCACTAGTGCCATCTGCAATAAAGGCTACTTTTCTGGAAATATCCTCTTGAGTGCCCGGCTGATTAATTCTCCCGCACCGCCTGGCAGCTTATCTGCAACAATATGAAAACAAATGTAGACTGCAATGCAAAATGCAAATATACTGAAAATGTGCAGGAAGCGCCCTATTCTTGTACCAGTGAAGCCTTCTAAGACTTTCTGAAGACTGGATAAATCATGTCTCCGTGGAAAAGAGAATAATTTAAGACATTTAATTAGAATTGGCTTCAAAGTGGTAAGCTATATTTTTCTATTTTGGATTTGTGTGTGTGTGGAGAATGAAGGTTAGCATAGAAAATGTTTGATATAATTCTGAGTGAATTATACTTTCAAGTTACATAATATCTGATCCCTAAATACAAGAATAAGAAGACATTTGGAGGTGTAGTTACATATATTTTCCTTTCTGTTTTTGGCTAAGGAACATATATGATTAGGGTTCTCAGACAAGAAATAAAGCAGATGGAGATATATAGTATGGAGACCAAGATTTACTGGGGTATTAAAATATCTTTGTTGTTCATGATGTGATATCAATTAAAACACTAATAAATCTTATTCTTCTTGTGAGTTTAAAGACGAGACATTTCTCTCAGGCATTGGGAGTGAGCTCCTGGGGCCGCCTCCTGCCTTCAGCAAGTCCGCTGCCAGCACCATTTCTCTGGCTCAGGGCTCAACTCGATTGCTCCGGGTGATGAATTTGTAGGCTCTGCGGATGACTTCATAGTTGGAGAAGCATCTTTCTGCTCTGACATTGCTCTGGTATTTAGTAAACTGTGAGCTATTCTTAAAATATTGCCAATGATTATAGAGGAGCCTACTCCTAGGATTAAAATATGGGTTTAATAGAGAGATTTCTTATCACCAGCTCTTTATTTGCAACAACAGGGCATCCGTATGACTTCCTATTTCTAAAAATTTTCACCCCAGTAATACATGATACATCAATTTATTAGTTATGTGTGCATGCTACTGATTAAAAACTCAGAATTGGAAGTGAACTGATTCTAATTAAGGGCTTTCGATATGGCCATGTAAGTCTTTGGCCAGGCCTACAAGCAGAATGATAGTTTAATTAACAAAAGTATCTGTCCTCCTTCGGAAGATATTTGAGTGATCATCAGAGCAGGTTCTTCTGACTTTCAGCCAATCTAGGAAACTTGCAAATACGCGGCAACATATTTTATAGTGAGTTGTATTGTCTCCT